GGTAGTCATGACGCTGTACAGCAAAATCCCAACAGTTAACATCGGCAAGAGAGCGAATGCGAGGCGATTGGACCTAATCCCTGCACAGTAAACTGAAGATAAAGCCCCACTTATAATTTTGTTGGACTGGACCTTCGAACAGTGGTCTGATTCCTACAGAGTTTTCCTAGGTGGTTCACCGCAGATCAAGGGATGTGGGTCTCTGTTTCCGTTCAGGGATGCCGAGAACAACAAACATGCCAGTAATAAATAGAAGGGGGAACGCGTCTTAACGGAATGTAAATGTGAGAGTGTGCCTACTGTTCTCTACGTACTAAAATTAATATCCTGACATTGGTGGCCAACTGAACCCGAGCAGTCACGGCATTGACCGGTAATGCCAAGTCGGGATCCTACTCGGCTCGGGACAGAAAATGCAGCAAAGTCGGGCATTCGGTGTGCCGATTTGGCTTAAGTGGAGTCACCGAAATCTCTGCGCGGGAATCGACCGAAGCCCCGTGGGTCTGTTCTATTGCTCACTGTTCAGTTTTCTTATCTTCGAGTTGGCATTTGCTTCAAAAGATATAAATCGGACTCTCCCTCTGTTTCCATCTCATTTTCCTTCACTGTTATGCTATAAACTGCAATCGGATTTACCCCTTACACCACGCCAAGCTTTTCAGCCATGATCAGCGCCAAGTCGGGCTCAGCGAATCCTTGACCCACATAGTAAAATTTACTAGACATTTTATGTTATTTTAGTTATTTTTTGTTTTCACCTTCTCTGTTGGGAATCCACCGGTTTCAGGCGCTTTGTTTCGTAATTTTCCCGATCCCTCTGCAAACTCTGCAAATTCGTGTATGTTCGTACAGTACCTGTTGATACTAGTGACGCCCACGAAGCATAGTTCATACCACCGGCACCAGAACCGAGTACAAGCCGGCCCCGGCACTCTAGACACTATGAGTGATTATTTTTGTCATGATCATTCTTACGTTTCCTCTCTGTGGAATATGGAATATCCATTTACCCGTCATCCCCACGGATTCTTGGCCCAGGCACGGCATTTTCATTCGCACGTTTGGCCCGAGGACCCAGAGAACTAAACTGAATCACGCAGGTTTCTAGAAGGTGGCAAGAAGGTCGGGTGATCAGGTTTCTTCTTTCCCCTACGAATTACACAAACATAGAGTAGATGTGCATAGCAGTTCGAAGTCATCCCTAGATCCAATGTTGAAAACAATCCTTCTAGAAGGGATAAAGGGATATGTCAACATGGGGGACGTTTTCATTCACGTGGACATTCTCTCCACTCTCTCTCCACTGCTCCAAACACGGAGAGTACGGAGTGCAGAGACGCTAAAACTGCCCGTGGAGATGAAATTTACTTCCCCATTTCGGAAGTGGGACAGATCCGGGCACCCCCATTACATTACCCTTGGTACCCCGAGGGGTATTTAGTCGCTGTTTTCCCCTTCCCTTTCCTCTTCTCTTGTTCTCTTGTTTTCTTGTTTTTCATTACTCCTACCCATAATATCAGTGAATTCATCTTTCACTATGGGTATCTCTTCTTTTATGGACCGGGTCAAGCCCGCCAAGTCCGAGTCCCAATTCTCTTCACAGGCTGCTACTCCCTCGCGTGCCGACTCTACCTGTGTTGAGAAGGACAACATCACTCTCGATGACAGCCCTGTCAAGTACCTCACATGGCGTTCCTTCATCCTGGGCCTGTGTGTCTCCATGGGTGGTTTCATTTTCGGATACTCTACTGGTAGGTCACACAACACTGTCGTTAGGAATGCAACGCTAATCCAACGCAGGTCAAATCTCGGGTTTCACTACCATGGGCGACTTCAAGCGCCGCTTCGCTGAGTACAACGCCGCCACCGGTGAATATGCCTTCAGCAACGTTCGCAACGGTCTCATTGTCGGCCTGGTACGCATATACCCTGTCTCGCAGACAATACATCCCACTAACACATGCTCCAGCTCTCCATCGGTACTATGATTGGTGCCCTGGTTGCTGCCCCCATTGCGGACCGTATTGGCCGCAAGCTCTCCATCTCCTTCTGGGCCCTCGTCCACATTGTTGGTATCATCGTGCAGATTGCCACCAGTGACAAGTGGTACCAAATTGCCCTCGGCCGTTGGGTCGCTGGTCTGGGTGTCGGTGCACTCTCCAGCGTCGTCCCCATGTACCAGAGTGAGTCTGCTCCTCGTCAGGTCCGTGGTGCCATGGTCAGCGCTTTCCAGCTGTTCGTCGCCTTCGGTATTTTCATCTCCTACATCGTCAACTTCGGTACCTCCAGACTCGACAACGATGCCTCCTGGCGTATCACCATGGGCATTGGCTTTGCCTGGCCTCTGATCCTCGGTGTCGGTACTCTCTTCCTTCCCGAGTCTCCCCGTTACGCCTACCGCCACGGCCGTGTTGAGGAGGCCCGCGATGTCATGTGCAAGCTTTACGGCGTTCCCACCAACCACCGCGTCGTCGCCCAGGAGATGAGCGACATGAAGCAGAAGCTTGAGGAGGAGCTCGCCAACGGCGATGCTCCCTGGCAAGAGGTCTTCACCGGTCCCCGCATGCTTTACCGTATTCTTCTCGGTATCGCCCTGCAGTCCCTGCAGCAGCTGACCGGTGCCAACTTCATCTTCTACTACGGAACCAGTATCTTCAACGGTATCGGTCTGAGCAACTCCTACGTCACCTCCATCATCCTCGGTGCCGTCAACTTTGGTATGACCCTCCCCGGTCTGTACATCGTCGAGCACTACGGTCGTCGCAAGTGTCTGATGTACGGTGGCGCCTGGATGTTCATCTGCTTCCTGATCTGGGCCTCCGTCGGTCACGAGATTATCCACTCCGACCCTACCAACCACTCCGCCGGTATTGTCATGATCGTCTTCACCTGTCTGTTCATTGTCGGCTTCGCCACCACCTGGGGTCCCATCGTCTGGGCCATCTGTGGTGAGATGTACCCCTTCCGCTACCGCGCTGTCTGCATGGGAGTCGCCACCGCTGCCAACTGGACCTGGAACTTCCTCATCTCCTTCTTCACCCCCTTTATCAACAACACCATCGACTTCCGCTACGGTTACGTCTTCGCTGCCTGCTGCTTCCTCGCTGTCCTCGTTGTCTTCTTCTTCGTCAACGAGACCCAGGGCCGCACCCTCGAGGAGGTCGACACCATGTATGTCCTCCACGTTAAGCCCTGGAAGTCCTCCAGCTGGGTCGCCCCTGAGGGCATCGTCGCCGATCTCCACGGTACCGCCGATGCTCAGAAGGAGGGCGAGGCTGGCGCTGGCCAGCACCAGCACCACGATCAGACTGCCGAGATTCGGGAGGAGTAGATGCGATGCTATGATATGATGTGCAAGATGACACCGGCACGGTGCATTGCTTTGTTCTTTTAAAAATATTTCTATGTGCATACTTATGTCTCTATTATTGACCCTTAGTTGTGTCTCCACCATATCCCTAGGAGACCTTGATTCTTAATGGCACGAAACAATTAGCTTTACAAATTTTCCATCCAAGTAATATATGTAAAGATCAAGCTATGAACGCTGTTCATTCAACTAAACACAAAACCATAAACCTAACAATATCTACTCCCCCTTCTCCTTCCCATTCTCAAACTCCAACCCAGCCCTCTGCCTAACAACCCCATAAACAGCAGCAATATCCCCACTCTCCCCCCGCTCCCCCTTAACCCCCTCCAACAAAGAATCAGTAACCTCAACATTCCTCATGCGCTGTCCAGCCCCCTCCGCAATCCCATAAGCATGCCTCAAATCCTTCCTGGCAAGATCAACCGCAAAAAGCGGCTCCTCCCGCTGATAATAATCGCCCCCAACCATCCTATCGGCATACTTCGCAAAAGGCCCCGGCGCAAACAAATCAATCCACTCCTTCAACGGCCCAACACCCAATCCAGAGGTCTCAGCCGCGACAAGTGCTTCGGCTAGTACACCGACGGTATTAAGGATAAATGTGTTCCCGATGACTTTCATCGTAGACGCCTTTCCGACGTCGATGTCGGATCCAGTTCCGCTGGATAGGTCGATGCTTTGTTTAGCGACTACGCCGTCGAGGAACGGCCGTGCTTTCGCAATGGACGTTTGTTTACCAGCCGGCACGACGATCAATCCGCCTACATCGGCCATATTCGGCGCGCCGAAGACGGGGCATGCGACGAAGCCTGCGCCGCGGGCGTTGTAGGCGGATTCTGTTTTGCGCGATGTCTCTGGGTGCACGGTTGAGCAGTCGATGAATGTTTTGTTGGTTAGATCGAGGGTCTTGTCTTCTAGGATTGTTGTCACGATTGAGTCGAGTGCTGCGTCGTCGCCGACGCAGGTGAAGATTAGGTCGGCTTTGTTGACGGCTTCGCTTAGGGTTGCGGCGACTGTTGCTTTGTCGCCGAGTTTCTGGGCGTGGGCTGTTGCGCGGGATTGGGTGCGGTTGTAGAGGATTAGGGGGCCGTTTTGGGGCCCTTTCTGGGCGATGTTTAGGCTCATGCCCTTGGGTTCTTTGTTAGTTTGGAGTGGGGACTGGGAATGGGGTTGGGGTTGTTCGGGTGTTCATTCGGATGTTCCGAGGGGTATGTTGTATGTTGTTTGTGTTAGGGATGGATTGGTTGACTTACCCGGCCAATGTTACCGAGGCCAATCCATGCAACGCGAGGTCCAGACATGATGAGTAGGTAATTGAGTCAATTGGGTTGAGGTATTGTGTAGAGATAGTTGAGAAGGAAGAGGTGAGATCGACTTTATGTCGTCAAGGTGTGGGGCAGATGTGGGGTAAACCCGATGGTTCAGTTCTTATCCGGTGGGAATACTTGTATTCAGAGAGAAATGCGGTATTGGACGTGTTTATATACAACTACAGTAACCAGAAAGCTCAAGGGATTCAGTCATGCTCGGTGTTCCATCAACGCGAATATAGACTGTTTCTAATCTGTGAGTCACTAAGCCCGAAGTCCGAGGTGTGGGTCACGCCATATAGACATGCATATCTACACTAAAGTCTCGACTTCTCCTTCTCCTTGCCCTTCTCCACGATAGCAATATCCTGGAACGGCAACCCAAGATACATCCACATAAACGCAAACCTACCCCAAACCGCAGTCAGCCTCTAATCTATCATCGCCCAAGAAAAAAAGTATACAGTACATACCGATCACTCCCAAAGAAAGGCTCCTCCTTCCCCTCAGAATTCCTCACCCAAAACCAAGGCGCCCCATAAGCACCTTTATCAAGCGCAGTCTGCGTATTAGCTGTCAAAGCCTCCTTAAACTCAGGCTTGGACGCCGAGGCGAGGATCTCCCCAACCTCGGAATTGGAGTACCCATTGCTTCGGAAGACTTCTGCTAGATTCTCTGGCTTGCTGATGTCAATTCCCTTGTAGAACATCCATTCCCAGAGGGTAAGGAATGTTGTTTCGTATTTCTCGCGCGGGAAGTTAAGTTTGATGTAGATCATGCAGCGTTGGGGCTGTTTCAGTGAGATTTTGGATTGGATTGAGATCTAGGGGGGAATATAGGAGCATACCAGGATTGAGAGGATTGGGAAGAACGCTGGTGGTTTGATATGTGGAACCCCGAAGTATTTACATGCTCGCTCCCCGTCGAATTTGGAGTATGCTGCTTTGGCGGGGAGGGTCCAGGGGGGTTTGTTTCCTTTTATTCTGGTTTTAGGAACTTTTCACGGTGCATATGTTGTTAATTTAGACGACATACCTGAACCAACATTGATCCCGCCTAGGAAAACCGGGTGGAATCTGTTCGGGTATTAGTTGACGTCCACGTTGAAGTTAGCAGTCAGGGGGGTAACTCCAGTATTGAACATACTCAATCTCGATACCATACGACTCTAAAGCCTTGCGATTCTTCCTGAGGTATAGCGTCGCATAGTATGAATATGGCGATACTATCCAGGTGGTAATGTGATTAGCGAATGAGACACAAGGCGCGATGCCAGAGGTGGGGCTGGGCTTTGCATACCGCAATCCACGTAGGCGTCAATCTTGCCCGGCATGACGCTAAGTATATTGTTTAGGTGGATGAAGTGTCTTCCAGTTAGAGTGTGTTGAGGATGAGGTGATCGGTGGTATATAGCTGGGGTAGCTGGAGGTTGAAAGGCCGAGGTGGAGATGGACCGAGGCTCCGACAATGAGTGATGAGTGATCATCAATTTCTGGGTTGGGGATATCCGAAACTTCACAACCACATTAGTTACTACATGTTATATTGGAGATGGAAATATTAAATATAGGTGTGGAATGCTATTTTTTATACATTAAAAATTAAGGTATATACAATACGGACAATTGAGCTCTGGTTGTGATACGTGCTGTTCTTCCGCACATATCTAGAGCTGTCTCCGCGTTTGACATCAACTTCGAATCCGAGTATATCTGCCGATTCACCACGGGCGCATCATCTGATTTTCACTGCCGAGGGTGCTGAGATCCCCTCTTCCATTCATCTCGCGGCGGGAGAAGCCAGTGCTGAGACCTGGACTTTGGTCGTGTAGAGTCGACCATGAGAATCAACTCTGCACTCGATGCGCCAGAGATATCTGGTGCTCAAGATCCAATACCATCAATCAAAAGGCATGAACATCCGTGAAAGAAACAGAGTGAGGTTTTCAACCTCATCTCACAACTCATTCAATCCTTGCGATGTCCACTAATAACCGATTGCTTAGTATTAACCAAATCCAAATCATACGGATTCTCCTCATACTGCGTAGCAGTAGCAACACGGTGCATAGAGCGACCAGACTGACGCGAAGCCCGAGAAGCATGACGGGCAATAGTGCCGCGCGAAGGAACAGTAGACAAAGTATCATCATCACTAGAATCAACCTCATCTGGCAAAACAGCATTCGGGGCCGTCTTCTCGGATTCCTCTTCCTTCTCAGTGCGCACCTCAACCTGAGCCTGATTCTTCTGGGCAAGACGCTGCATAAAGGCATCCGCCTCAGCGGCGTAGGTACAGCGTTTCCGAATGCGCGCGCCATATTTATAGAAGATGAATGGAAAAGGCACGCATGCCAGCGAGAGGAAGGCTGGGATCGATGATGCCCAGTGGATTCCTAGGTTTTCATACATGTATGTAGTGAAAAGAGGGAAAGCCATGCCGAATAGGGAACGGAGGGCTGAGTTTGCTGCTAGCACCGAAGCAGCGAAGATGGTGTAGGAGTCGATGAGGTAGTTGAAGACGCTGAGGAAGACGAGGACCATTCCGAAGCCGAAGGGCGCACCTGCTGCTACCGAGGCCATCCAGTGGATACTTGGGGAGTTGGTCCAGGCGAACCAGAAGAGACCTATTGGGAGGGCTATGCCGCCGACCATGCTTGGAGGGAGGCGGAGCTCTGGGGCGAGACGGTCGGTTGTTTCAGCGCATTTTTTGGCGTAGCGGAAGTTCTCCGGGAAAGTGTAGGCTACTGCTATTATCATTCCCACGAGGATACCGAGGAACGCGAGGCCGCCGATGCCTTCGCTCCAGCCGCGGACTTGTTGGAAGACGATTGGGTAGGCGGCGAAGAGCATGTAGAGGGTGCCGTAGATGATTGACATGTATATGGAGAAGAGAAGCACGATTGGCTCGCGGAAGAGGAGAATCCAAGGGCGGGAGAGGGCGGTTTTTAATGTCTTGCTCATAGGAACAGGACCACGGGTGATGTCAAGGTGGCTGCGGTATACGTTCCCGGTCAAAGCTGATAATTTCTCTGCTCGGCGGCGGAGGAGGACAGGAGCATATGTCTCTGGTAGGAGAAAGATAATGCACAGCCAGAGCAAGCCAGAGAACGCGGCGAGGAAGCCTTCAACCCAGCGCCAGCCCGCTCCGGTGGCTAGGAAGCCGCCTATAACTGGACCAAGGGTAGGACCGAGGAACGGTGCTGCTGCAAATAGAGAAATGGCAATTCCACGTTGCGAGGCTGGGAACATGTCTGCAATAGTGCCACCCGCATTACCGAATGGAGAAGAGCCAAACGATCCCGCTAGGAAACGTAGGATAATAAGAGTTTGGATGTTCTGAGCACCCGCCGAGCCGGCATTGAATGCAGTTAAGAACATGAATGAAATGGTGAAGATATGGCGACGGCCGAAGATCTCACTAAGAGGAGCCCAGATCAAAGGGCCTATGGCAAAACCGAGGACAAACAGCGAGACGCCCAGGATGACGACTTCCTCGGGGGATCCAAAATCCTCTATAATCTGGCTCATTCCACCCGAGAAAGCGGATGATACCAGTGAGACAGCCAGTGTGACAAAAGACACTAAAAGTGTGATGGCCCATTTCTTCATTGCATGAAAGTTCATAGGGTTTCGTGGATCATTTGGGATCCAAACCACGGCGTACGGATCATCTTCGGTCCCTGAGCCTGTGTATGGGTATTGCACGATTTCCTCAGTGACGACTTTTTGATCGAATACCATACGCCAGAAGGTGATCTTGGAGGGATGTGTGGTCTCGCCTCCATTGGGGCCCATTTTGATAGATCTGGCCCTGGTTAGGGGCGAATGTAATGAACGTTGATAGATGGATTTGTAGTAAAGAGAGTCAGAGATTTTTAGAGTAAAAAAAGCAAGATCAGCAATGATCAACGATCAGCCCCGAGATATCAAAGAAACATTGCAAAAAAATTGAGAAACCTCATGTCTCAAGAGAAAAGATCAAACCCCACTTTGATAACAACCGAAGCCATGCCTCGGCTCGATTTGACGTCGAACAAATCAGAGTCGACCAATGATTCGGCAACTGCTTGCCGGTCTCAGAATTTTCAGTGGAGCCTCATCAAGCCCTGACTCGCGTTCTAAATGTCGGCCCGTTTTCCAGAGTTTTCACGGCTTCCCGAAAGCTTGAATGGCTTGGCATGGGTTGCAATATTATATCTGGGGACTACTTAGGTACATGTACAACTGGAATTGATCAATACATGTAAGTAGAGGAAAGACAACGCTTCACGTCGTATCCCCATATATTCCAGCCCCAGTTATCGCAGTGGATTTGAGCGGGTCTTGATTATTCTTGACAAATGATGGTTGCCACGTCGTCACTAGTATTCCTGTCAACAATATCACTAATGTACAGTTCCGATATAACCGATGCTGGAGATTTGTAATTGATTTATACCTTGCGCAATCCCCAAATTCCCGGGTAAGCACTATTTTTATTTTCCGACAGTCAGTACTTAACCCCAAGGTGTATCATTGGACTTTTTTGATTCTTGTCTTATGCGATAGACATTACGGGTAATGTCTCTCTGCTGGATTGATCCTAAGTTTATCGGCACGTGTAAATGGAACAGAAATTAATGCTTCTTCTTTTCGTAACTCATATAAACAAATAGATACACATAGGAAACCTGTTTTCTGGACCACCGAGAGACATAGTAAAAGACACATTAATTACTAGAAGATCTCGTGAAATCCTATTAGAAGATAAAGTGGTGTTAGATACTACGAAGCCACTTGAAGCTTACCAGATCGAACAATCTGAATATCAAAAGATAAAGTACAAAGCTATGCAGATCGCGTCATAGTCATCTATCCAATAAGATTAAGATACCCCGCATTTTGACCAATTCAACATCAACAGACCAGGGATAGTTTCGACTGTTTCTACAAAGTAGGACCTTTCCACTAATCAGTATAGCAATTAACATCATATTTACGCCACACATACAATAGAACCAATCATGTCAACCCACTTCCCCGTGCCCCCAGGCACACAAACCGTTCAGGTCCGAATCATCGACACAACTGTCCGAATGGACAAACTCCCAGTGGAGTTCCTCATGGAACCGCCCATGGAGGGAATGTTATACATGCCTCCGATGCCGGCATGGTCATTCCTGATCGAACATCCCTCGGGCCAGAAACTACTTTTTGATCTTGGTGTTCCGAAGGACTGGCGGTCGTTTTCCCCATTTGTGGTTGGGCGTCTTGAAGCGTCGGGGTGGGAAATTAATGTTGAAGAAGAGGTTATTGATATCTTAGAGAGGAATGGTGTTGCGGCGGGTGATATTTCGGGTATTATTTGGAGGTATTATATGCCACTCCCTACTCATTTATAACCCGACAACCTGAGATTAATTGCTATCTATTGATATAGCCATTGGCATTGGGATCACCTAGGTGATCCCTCACGATTCCCACCCTCAACCGAACTGATCGTCGGACCTGGTTTCAAAGATAATTTCTTACCGGGATATCCAGCAAACCCCAATTCAGCAGTACGCGAGTCTGATTTTGCGTAAGCCCATACCCTACTTCCCAATTACGAACCCCGAAACTAACATGATAACCAGCGGAAGAAACCTGAACGAAATAAACTTCACAAACTCCTCCCAAACAGGCCAATTTCGCGCCTTCGACTTCTTCGGCGACGGCTCATTCTATCTCCTTGATACACCAGGCCACGCCATAGGCCATCTCAGTGGATTAGCACGCACAACCACCAACCCAGATACATTCATCTTCATGGGCGGTGATCTGTGTCACCACAGTGGCGAAATAAGACCTTCCAAACATATGCATCTCCCTTCTGATATCCCAGCCGCAGTTCCGTCCTGTGTACTCCCATGTCCTGGGACTGAGGCTTATGAACAGTTGTTGGTTAGTCGGGGTAGCTCTGTTGATGAGCCGTTTTTTAGACCGGCGGCTATGATTGGGGTTGAGATTGGGGAGACTGTGAGGACTATTGTGAAGGCGCAGGAGGCGGATGCCGATTCGAATGTTTGGTTCGTTTTTGCGCATGATCCCAGTTTGATTGGCGTGGTTGATTTCTTTCCTTTGAGGGCTGATGGGTGGATGGAGAAGGGTTGGAGAAAGAAGACTCTTTGGTCTTTTTTGAGGAGTTTTGATGCGGTTGTTTATGCGAAGATGCAGATGTAGATCTTGTTAACCCGCTATGTCTGCCTGCATTGATATTATTTATCTATATATGTAGCTGTGTATCATGTAGCTACAAAACCCGCCAAGACTCCCGTTAATATCTGCGCGAAATTCTTCCAGTGGATAAGTCTTAGCGAGTCGGGGTATAACCCGTGGCAGTAAGCGGAGTTTAAAAGGGTCTTGTGTTGCTTCTAAGCCGGTGACGGATCAAATATAATTGATGGAGGGATTCCTGGACGACCAATATGGGTGAAAGGGCAGAGTGATCATGGTATGATCAAAGTCCGAACTATTCCTAGTCTATCTCGTTACAAGTCCTAGGTAGTTTCCGATTTAGGAATTTAAATTGTGGTTATCAATGCCACTGTCTAAGGGAAACAAAACAACTTTAGGAGACGTACATAACAGTTACCAAGTATAAAGCAGTTTGTAGACTTCCTAGCATATCTTTATCACCTCGTGAGTGAAGCACTCTAACTATCACAGTTGCGGCCTATCCGGTCGTAATACCCGATAGCCTCCTCCCACCCCTAGTTTGGGCATGCTTATTTCCGGTACACAAGCTACCATTAACACACACGCTAGACCCACCAGCGGCACCACCATTGCAATTGTCTTCCCTTCAGTGGCGGTCATGGTAGAGCCCAGTGACAGCTTCCGGGTGTGCAGGACAAGCCAGGACATCCGAAAGCTTTTCTCCATCGCTGCTGGAGCAGTCACCATTTCCGCTATTTCCAGGAGGTAAGGCATACTGAGGCATGGGTTTGGCCAGGCCAAGGCTAAACATGGCGCTCACGCCTGTCAATCTCAGTTTGAACTAATATAAAATGACCTTCGCCTAGGCATATTTGAGATAGTATGGTCAGCCTCACCTATCGTAAAAGCTATACCAAGGGGCTAGCTGATATTGTTGTGTCTTACGAGACCCCTACATGAAAGCTCTGGAGACGCTAGGTAGCAGGTCCGTGCCCGACGTAAAAGAAGATATAGATACGTAGTAGAGTGGCAGCTCCTAACAGATAAGCTAAGGTTTATAACTGCCAGGGGCTCGTGCTAATACTCCAGCTGTCCCAGTCCTATCCAGGAGTAGTTCGCTTGACAGCAGGGGGCGCGGACGCGTAAAAAGAAAAATCATTTCGCTGAATCGAAATCTCTTGGCAGGAGGAAAGAAGCAAGTAATAACGATAGTTCATTGGTTAAGAAAAGGACGGGGAAGAAGAGAAGCTTCGACCATCGAGGACTATCTAACTGCTCTCAGGACCATCCAGGGTCACATGACCAATCAGGTCATGTGATCTCAGCAAAATCATTTGGTATCATATGAGCAACTTCGTATATACTTCCGCAAACCCACCCCGCAGTGCATATTACCTCCTAGAAATAGCGGAAATGGTGACTGCTCCAGCAGCGATGGAGAAAAGTAAACTTAAACAGGGGTTGTAATTAGGGCCGGACCCTGATTTCTCGGAAACAGCATCTCTCTCAACTAGGGTATCCTGTTTTCCATCTTATTTTCCATCTTGTTTTCCATCTGATGAATCCGCCTCCACAGTAGCCAAAGCTTAAGGGCTATTAGCTTGATTCTAAGACTGGATCACAAAGAGCATACCTCAACTCGCTGCTCTAGAGAAGCGATCGCGACTGCAAATACACTAATATATAGAATTGTGGTAGTTAAGTCAGCGTCCATTTTGACGTTGAAGGAAGGGCAGAGAGAAACGGAATATCGCAGTTAGAGCCTAGAGAGGGAGACAAAAATGTGGAGTTAAGCGAATAGAAGATAACGAGGAGGTTGAACAGAAATATAAGAGAGGCCCGGAATTTTTAATTATTGAGGGCATCAGTATGATTCTATAGTGACGGATAGTCTCAAGGATAGGATTTCAGGTCCCGATCAGGTGCCAGAGCTGAACGGGACCCGTCATTAGCCCGTTGAACTTTTCACAGGTCCCCCTCTCTTCTTTAAGCTTCTCTTCTTCGTGTCGCCTATCCTGGCAGGCTTTGCGCACTTCCCTGGCCAAGGCCCGACCCGGCAAGACTTCGACTTCCCCGGAGTCTTACAAGCCCCAAATCCCGATCCTATCGCTGGCTAATGCTCTGGCTGCACTGCAATCAGCTGCCGTGGCTATGGGAGCCGCGCCTCCACATACTGAGACCGCGGCAATAGTTGCTTCTTGGGACCAGTACATCACACCGGGAAGGGTTCGCATGGAGAGCGTTCCCTTGCAAGGTAGAGGTAGACGTAGTGGATTGGAACAACAAGACGAGTTAGGTGGATCTTTCCCCCTTTGCTGAGGAGACCGAGGACTTCGGTAGAAAAGTGCATAGTGTTTCGGTCACGCTGGTGGGCTTCTGCAGTTTAGGGTTAGCTATTTTCTTCTCGCTACCCAACCCAAGTTGTGTGGTACTCTAGATTGTATTTCTCACAGGTGTCTCTCTTCTGGCTCTTGTTCTGAGAATGGTTCTAGCTCTGATGTAGGAAAACTACGGCATATGAGACCCTTTTATACCTGGATCCTAGCACTGTCGGTTATGCAACAAGATCGACACCGTCTAGCCCTCATCGAGACACCTCTTGCCCGAGATGCTGCAATCTAAAAATGGATCGTGGGGTTGACGCTTTAATCATAATATCAATATTTTGATGAGGTCAGTATAGCGTCCCAAGAACTATTTCTCATACGCCCGTCAATTTATCCCATCTTTTGATCAGATCGGCAGACAGAGTTGTCGGGACAAATCAATGTCCGATTGGGTCTCCGTGGGGGCAAAATCCGCTGGGGGCCACTATAAAGGCTAGAGAAGAGAAAAGACCAGACAATCACCTACTAGTAAGATTCTATGCTTTAAAGCAATTTGAAATAGTTTGCTCCCTATATAGTCCGGTTTGTATTTTAGTGTTATTCATTGTAAGCATGTTATTTCCAAGTTGCGTTCTGTTATGCCACTTGGATGGGTGCGGCCATAGGTACATTTCCAAGGACAACAGCATTTGGTTGGCAGTTCTGCTGCTCTTCTTTCGACTGTTCGGCAGCTAACAGCAGGCGCGTAGAACGAATATGTAATTCTGACCAATCAGTATTAATCCTCTCCATAGAAAGGGAAACTCACCTTCCAAGTCCACCTCATAAGCAACATCCGAACCCTCATCCCGATCATCCTGATGCACAAGCACGGGCAAGGAAGGATTCCACTCCTTAGGCCGCACACGCATCTTCAACCCAACAGTTTCCTCCGTATCAACCCACAAAATCTCATCAGAAGCAGGCGGAATCAAAACCTTCTCAGTCCCCTCCTCCCTAGCCCGTTCTGTAGCTGCCTTCCACTTCCGACTCTGCCGCAACAACCAATCCCTCCACAACCGAACAACCCCATCCTCGATAGTCAAAGCACTCAACAACAACGAAGTCCCCGGCAACACTTGCACAAGATTAGCCACCACACACAGCTGCGAGAAATCCTCAAATCCATCCAACATCACCTCCCGCGTTACAGCGCCGTCATCATCATCTCCACCCCGATTCGTGTCAGCTCTGATTAAACCTGCAACCCCAGACAACAGAAGCATCCTACCTGGCGATGGTACAAGACGGGCTCCGTTTCTCCCTGTTGTACTATTCTTCTCTTCTGACGTGCACACTTCCGGTCGAAAACGGGAGTATAGACCCGTTACCCGGCTGAGTTGGTGGGCTGTGTCTACGTTCTCGTATAGTGAGCCTTCCCCATCATGGCGCTCGCTGAGGCCGTCTGTGCCAAGATATTTGCAGAAGACGTGTGGCTCTGTCAGCTTTGAGCTGGGATGGAAGCATTCTAGGAGGAGTTTGTATTCTTTCAGTGGGGTGCTGAAGAGGAGGCGGTAGTGGAGGATTCGGAGGACTAGGGCGTGGAAGCGGTGGCACACTGATGTTAAGGGAAGTAGTGCCTTTGTTGAGAATCCTGATAGGATTTGGACAAACACCTATAGTGAACGGTTGTTAGGTTTGTTCGTTGGCTTGGTCGGGTGGGAGGTGTACCTCGTTTGGGAGAGAGTCCAGGGTAATGGAGTGGTTCATTGTTGCGCATTAACTGTGGGACAGTATAGGGCTGGAGTTAGTATACTCACGCTAGGACAGGGGTCAATATAAGAATGTCGACAGTGGTGGTGGTGTGTTGCGTTGCGTTGTTGATGGCCTGATAGAGAGAGAGACATGCGCTGACGTCACTACTTTGGGTTGCACAATGCAAAGCAGGACACAATGGGAATTGATCAATGTTGATATGTGTAGATGATGAAGTGTGTAGATGTGTTTGTAAGTTATCTATGCAGCTGTACAACAAACTAAACAGACGTCATTTCCCCGGAAAAAGTGCGGGATGCCGAACCCTTTACGGCTCACCGAGAGACGGGGATGACATGCCAAGAATCAAGGATGTCGGCAATGTTATACACATGTACGGAGTAACTGCAAGACTATTAAACATGGTCGTGCAGAATATACCATTGTAAGCAAACTAAGACATCTACCCCTTGCATCTACAAGCGATCCCATTCGCTTAGACTCAGGGCTCCAGGGCTTCAGGGCTTGACTCTGGATACCCCGACCCCGCGACCCCACCGGACTCCGGAGAATATTTGCCGATTCCCGGGGTGGCCTTTTCTTCCCAGCTTTTTCCCTTGTTCTCTTTCTTTCTTTCAAGGTCCTCTGATCATCTCTAGCTATGGCTAAGGTACTTGATGATATCTCCCACAGGAGGTTTAACCTCCTTCGTGGTTCCTCCATTTTGGTCTCTCCCCACCGAACCAAGCGTCCCTGGCAGTATGTACTTCTCATTAATTGGAACCTATTCGCGCACACATTCTAATAAAAACGTTTAGAGGAGCGCAGGAAAGCCCCTCCAAGACCACCCTCCCCAATTACGATCCCAAATGCTACCTCTGCCCCGGGAACCAACGTGCGCAAGGTGACATCAATCCGAAGTATGAAAGCACCTTCGTGTTTGTCAACGACTACAGCGCCGTAAAGGAGGAGCAGGCGGACTATGAGCCCAATTATGAAGATGGTACGCTCACTCACTGAGCCCAAACTACGCTCAAGTTAACGAAATAGAACTCGAGGCCCGCTTCCTTCAAGCCGAGCCCGTCACCGGCAAATGCTACGTCCTAACCTTCTCCGCGGCCCATAACCTCACCCTGGCCGACCTTCCACCCCGCGAGATCGTCCCCGTTATCAATGCCTGGACAGAGATCTACACGGCTCACCTCTCGCCCACCTCACCCCTCGCTCAGAACGCCTCCTCAACTACCATCCAGCCAATCTCCCACGAGATTAGCCCCGCAAAGCCCAATGAGCAATATCGGTACATGCAGATCTTCGAGAACAAGGGCGCTGCAATGGGCTGCTCAAACCCTCACCCGCACGGCCAAGTATGGACCACCAGCACGATGCCCGAAGAGCCCGCGGCCGAGATGACCCAGATGCTTAAGTACCGTACCGCGCACAGCACCCACCTCCTCGAGGACTACGCCAAGCTTGAAAGCCGCAAGCAGGAGCGCGTCGTGTTCGAGAACGAAGCGTTCGTCGTTGTCTGCCCGTGGTGGGCCACATGGCCGTTTGAGGTCATGATCATCAGCCGCACCCATAAGCGTGCTTTGGTCGATCTGTCAGATGCGGACCGTATGTTGCTGGCCGAGGCTATTTCTGACATCACCCGCCGATATGATAACCTTTTCGAGACACATTTCCCCTACAGCATGGGAATTCACCAGGCGCCACTTGATGGCACCAAGGAGGAGGTTGAGGCTTCCTACCTGCACCTCCACTTCTACCCACCATTGCTGCGTAGTGCCACCGTGCGCAAGTTCCTGGTCGGCTATGAGATGCTGGGTGAACCTCAGCGCGATATCACGCCTGAGCAGGCTGCGGCTAAGCTGCGCGATTGTGGTGGTGAGCTGTACCGCAAGAAGCTTGAAGGTTAGATAGCGGGTGTATGCAATAGGAGCCAGTGAAAGAAAGGAAAGGTGTGTGGTGTTGGTGGCTTTCTTTGGGTGGTGAATATTCAAATACATATTATTTTCAAAGCACGTATGCGTCGAGCCATGGTTGTAGTTCAATACCAATTTCCCCAGCCTCCATCCCAGTACATGTAGCCCTCACTCCCACCATTTTCCATTTTCTTCTCCAATACAATTACAAAGCATTTAAGCAAGGTAGGCCTCACGCTGCGTCAACATCCAAGCAAGCGACGACGAAGCCACAATCAAGGGACTGATGAAACGGCCCTTGAGAGTGGCATTTCCAAACACCAGCTCGCCAACAAAGTGCGTCAGGGCAATTCCGTAAGTCCACAAGGCGAGATCGTACGCGACAGGGTTGGTGATGTTGTAAGCAGCGGTCATGCGAATAACAGCGGAAAGGAAAGTCCAAGTTCCAAAGACGCGGCCGGAGAGCGGACTCGCAGGTACCTGGCCATTACTGTATAGTTGAGAGGTATAGGCCGGGGAGATGTAGGCTTGGAGGCTGTTCAGGGCGGAGACCACGGAGACCTACAATGTGTTAGATCGGAGTTGATTTGGTTTGGGAATTGGGTGAGCATACGAAGACAAGCCATTTGGGCAGGACGCCCTCGAATTGGGGGAGGTAAGTCAGGAGTTGAGACATGTTGGATATGTGGGCAAAGGGAGTGAAGTGTTGTGATTGTGGAAGGCCGAGGATGTTTGGATTCTTGGCGTTGATCTTCCCCCAACAAGCTGCGCTTCTCAACTTTTTTCTTTCTTTCTTGCCAACTCCGTTCCATTCGCGTTTTTGTTTATTTTTTATTATGGATCTCTCGAAGTATACTGAGTGTCTCTCGCAATGGCCTGCCCATATTGCCCCGGGCTTGCCTACTTTCGGTGCCCTGTTCCTCTTGGCGACTGGTGGGCTGGTCATCGCGTGCAAGGTGTGGACGTTCGTGCGGGTGCTTCTCAGCCTGTTTGTGCTTCCAGGCAAGCCGGTATGGAATCGTAATCTCCTATCCCGCTCCCAAATAATGAAACTGACAGGAATTGAATAGCTTCGCTCATTCGGTCCCCCCGGTAGCTGGGCCGTGGTGACAGGAGCCTCAGATGGCCTGGGCAAGGAATTCGCATTGCAGCTCGCCAAATCGAAATTCAACATCGTTCTCGTATCGCGCACAGCCTCGAAGCTGACAGCCCTGTCGGAGGATATCACCAAGCAATACCCCAACGTGCAAACCAAGACCCTGGCCATGGACTTCTCACAAAACGCCGACGCCGACTACGAGGCCCTGAAGGGCCTCGTCTCCGACCTGGACGTGTCCATTCTTGTCAACAACGTCGGCCTGAGCCACTCTATCCCCGTCCCCTTCGCGCAGACCCCCGCCGCCGAAATGGCCGATATCGTGACAATCAATTGTACCGGTACCCTCCGCGTCACCCAGCTCGTTGTGCCGGGCATGATGCAGCGTCGCCGCGGTCTCATCCTGACTATGGGTTCTTTCGGTGGTCTCCTCCCCACTCCCTTCTTGGCCACCTACTCCGGTAGCAAGGCTTTCCTCCAGCACTGGTCTACTGCCCTGGGCGCCGAGCTGGCCCCCTACGGTATTGATGTCGAGCTTGTGCAGGCTTATCTGATTACCTCTGCTATGTCGAAGATTCGTCGTGCCTCTGCTTCTATCCCTACCCCGCGCGCTTTTGTTCGTTCCGTTCTGGGGAAGATTGGTCGCAGTGGTGGCTCGCCTTCTTATGCTTATAGCTCGTCTCCTTACTGGAGTCATGGTATCATGGCTTGGTTTTTGACTTCTGTTGCTGGTGTTATGGGCAAGACTGTTCTCTCCCAGAATAAGTCTATGCATGAGAGTATTCGTAAGCGTGCTCTCCGTAAGGCTGAGCGGGAGGCTGCTAAGAAGAGCACTTAATTTGTGTTTGAGAGGCTGTGGAGTAAACGTATACTAGGAGTTATACTTTTCGAAATCGGTGTCTCTATATATTAACTGAATGTGAAATGTATTATTCGATTCTATTATATTTAAAAGTTTCGTCTCAGAAACAACATCTAAAATCTTAAGAAGATCAAGGAATGAGCTACATGTAGATTTTCTCGCGTCATACATGCTGTATAATTGTGCTTTGTAATGACATCGGTCGTTCGGCCTCCGAGACCGTGCTGAAGACGACATAACATATCTCTAAACGAAGGAATTAGTCCTCCGATTAGAAATCCCACTTGCGGAGGTCCAAGCTATATAGATAGATATCGGCCAAACCTACATTCAAAGGTTAGCTATCACTATATTATAATCACTCGTCTCACTCGTACATCTCAAGCCATGGCCACTACTCCAATCCTCCTCCTTCTCGGCGCAGGTTCCAATATCGGACACCACGTGGCTCGCTCCTTTGCCGAAAAGGGCTACAAGGTCGCTCTTGTAGCCAGATCACTAAAAGAAGAAGATAGCACTCCAGATCAAATCAATATCCCAGCCGATCTATCAGACCCAGCCTCCGTGGCCGAAGTCTTTTCGAAAGTCAGGGCACGACTTGGTCATCCAAGTGTTGTCGTCTACAATGGTAGACAAATCAAGCTTCTCAAGTTCCCATGTATATACAAACTAACGGTTCCTAGCTGCCGCCCTAACACCCAACAACGCAACGAGCCCCCTCTCACTCTTACTGGCCGACTTCATCCGCGACACGAACACAAACACAATTAGCGCATTCGCGGCCGCCCAACAAGCAGTCCTAAGCTTCGACCAACTCCCGGAATCAGCATCTAGAACATTTATCTACACAGGCAACATCCTAAACACCACAACCATACCCCCACTCCTCGATCTAGGCGTTGGAAAGGCAGCAACAGCACATATAATCCAATCCGCCGCTTCGGCTTATGCAGACCGGGGATACAAGTGAGACACTTCCCTGATCCAGATCCCAACCTTGACCCTGACCCCCCTAACCCAGACTAAACCCAAATCTAAACCCAAATTTCAATCTTAAAACAGGGCTGACATGATTAGGTTTTACTATGCCGATGAACGCCAGGCTGATGGGTCTCCTACTTACAGTGGGCTCAGTGGGGAGGCCCACGGTAAGCTCTATGTTTCGCTTGCCGAGGGGTTGTCGCAGGGTCCTTGGCAGCAGACTTTTGTTAAGGATGTTGGGTATAGGCAGTTCTAGGCTTGACTAGGGGGCTAGGTGTACGTGTTGCTGTTGACGTATGAGATGGACTGTTCGTGTTTATTGGCTGTTGTCAATGTGTCTGCCTTGAGTGCTTGATCCCTGTTCGTTCGCTTCCTTGCTGTAGCTTTACGTGTACGTAACGAGGTAGGGTTGCTGGATTTTGAGATATTGAGTCTTTTTCAGAGAATGGAGGAGATGGAGGAAATAAAGATTTGACAGTATCGTTTCTTATAAGTGGGGAGTGGGATTTTTAGTGCCGGAGTCTAGACCATTTTAATCACACTAGAGCAATCTCAAACCTTGTCGCCAAGCATTCAAGGACCTTTGTCCTATTGCGTACAAAGGACCAATTGCCTCGAGATAACAAACGGTGAAGATCGACCCACCACGGGAGAAACAAGTGGGGGAAGATGATGCCATAGTTGTGTTAGTTTCAGGACATGAAACGCGGGCGTTAGGGATAAATTGGGGGCCTTGATTTTAAGCAGATTTAAGGACTCATTTAATGAACGTCAAAGTAACTATAGAACACTGAAGGGAAGCATAAACACCACGTTGTTTTGAATCTATTCATAGTTCGCACGCAAAGGAAACCCGGACATATCACAAATGCAATCTGTAAGGGCAACAAAACCGGAACCCTCCATGTTTTGCCAGTGTGTTGAAGTACATGTACACGGAGGCCCTTGCTCGGGGCGATCTTACTAGTTGCAGGGTCTGAACGTGGTCGGGCACTGGGTATAGCCCCCGCCCTATTCTGCCCCATTCTCACATCTCATCTTGAGTTCTTATTTTCCGGTTATCCCGTTCATGAAAATTTCTGAGGGCTTCTTTGCTGTAAGCTTCTCTATCATGCCTTCGTCTGGCACTCTCGTTCATTCCCTTGGTCATAATTGGCTGGGTAAGGCCGATATCGCTGTTCAGACGATTTTTCTGGCTGTTAGTCTTGTCGCTGTCGGTCTGCGGTTATGGTCGCGGCGATTACAATTGAGTTCGCTGCAATTGAGTGATTGGTTTATTGTACTTGCGACGGTAAGGTTAACGTTATTTGCTTTATTTTATTGTTTCTACCCGGAGAAACTTATTTGGCACTACTGTTTTCCCCACTCTATTTCCACAAGGCTGACTGGGAATATTAATCTTTAGTTCGCAGTGCTTGGTCTCTATGTGGTAGAAATCACCAAAGTTCTACTGACTGGATTGGGACTACACTCTCCAGAAGTAGCCCGGGTCGGAGGGAACGATATCTTTGTCCAATTCAGCGAGGTAGGCTATATGAAGCCTAATTTATATGTAATCTCCGTTCCAATGCTGACCATATCTCAGCTCACATACTGTGGTGATCTTCTTTGGATAATAGCAGTCACCTTGATCCAGTTGTCAATTCTCCTCTACTATGTCCGCGAATTTGGCCAGCGACTTGTTGTCTGGTCAGCCTATGCTCTCATGGGCCTATGTACAGCCCTCGGGTTTGCAGGTGTATTTGCAACAGCATTCTTCTGCACCCCGCCCAAAAAGTTATGGCTTTCGGATACACCGGGGCATTGTGGTGATCGTGACGAGCTGCAAACCAGTGTCAATGCGAGCGAAGTTATCCTAAGCTTCTTTGTATTGGTCCTTCCAATTTATTTTGCGTGGAGAAGGGCATTTTCACAGGCCAGAAGAGCTGCACTCGTGTGTATCATTGCACTCGGACTAGGGTGAGTACCTTTTCTTCTGCAACAAACGAAAGCGCATTATAGCTCTAGCTACTAACGAGCATCACAGCATCGTCGCACTCATTGCCTCCCGCATGAAATACGATTCCAAACTCATGCCATCAGATGCAACCTATGGCTCCACGCGGAAATCACTCCTCTCGTGCTTGGTACCAATCTTGGGTATTACAGTTGCCTGTCTCCCAACTCTACCACCAGTCATCCAAAGGATCTTTGGAACATCAATATTCTCATCTACATCAAGCATGTCTGGCCTACGTCCGGAAGCTGCGAAGCACTGGAAAACAACGGTTCTTACTGGCAGGCGTTTGGAGGAGCCTGAGATGCCTTTGGTTACTGTTACTCAGCCTATGATGGCGAAGATGGGCCATCTTAGTCCGGGTCATATCCATATTACTTCTGACTGGGAGATTCATTCGTCGCGGGGTTCGACGAGAATTGAGAGATCGCCTGTTCGGCAGGTCTGATGGGGTTCTCTCGGGTTGGGGAACTAGTCTGTATTTAGCATATAGCAATTTTATCTTGCTGTCGATTTATAGCTCAACGCTGTCCTACAATGCCGTAAAATTGGTTTCCTTAGAGCAGTGTCTTTTCTCGATATGTTTGACATCTAACAGCCATATTCCATTTTAATGATCGAGCTCACGCGTTCCCCGATATCTTCCACAGAGTTAGGTCTCATCGCCGTCTTAAACGTTGGGTGTGTCAACCTCGACCATAAACGCCTGGCTCCTTTTGTCTATTCCTATGCACCCTGCATGGGTAACGGTTGGTTTTTATCACTCTATGGTCCGAGAAGGAGACGAATAGGCAGATATATATATATCACTACTGGCAAACCTAACTAGATATTCAAACCCGTTTAAGTATTTTATGTTACCGTAACGATATGTCAGACCTTATACTTCTCTATTCTTCTATATATCTCAGATATTCTGGAAGGTATCATGAAAGATGGCCGTATGGTCCTGTTAAGGCTAACAAAATTAGTCAAGATTTCTTGTTTTCCTTTATGTATCACTGGCTGCGTATTTCTTACATAACAATCCATCGTGGTTGGCCAATTGGCCTAGTGGTAAGGCATCCGTTTCCGGTGCGGGAGATCGTAGGTTCGAATCCTGCATTGGTCGTCTATTTTTGTTCTTTTTGCCTCATCTGAGGTAGGGTATGGTTTATTTGAAAGACGTGGACAAACATGGATCGATAATAGTTCAGTCACTTTTTTGGCAAACCGTGTAGGCGTAACACGAATGCTTCATTCAATTCTGTACTAGACAACCAAGTTTCATCTAAATGTTAGAACAACATATACACCTTCAACATTGATACAAATACAAAGTTTGGGTTAGTAGCAAGTACCTACTTCAATGTGGTCACACAGGTCGAGAAATGCACAGGGTTACTACGTATTGTGCGGTTCCCAGGAATAACTAACAAATGTGGATATATAGACGCCGTTTTAGTGACGTTGCAAGTCTGCGCCTTATACACATAAAAAGGTATTTATAGAGAGACCTGGGTGTCAGACCACCTGAAGCATGCATAGAAAATAAACTGGCACATAAAACATAACAAAAAAAAAAAAAACCGGCAATTGAGGAATAAACCTTCGCTGACCTACACCACTCGTCCTTGACCTGTTGACTATTCGGCAAATAGAGGATAAAGAATTGTTGGAACCGACAGGAATTTCCTACGGGTTCTTCTGCCATGGATTTCATACCTGAACTAAGCCCGACAACACCTTTTGTCATGCCGCCGTTCTCAATCCAACCAGGTTCTTGCTTTAGTCTTTCGACGGCGTGCATGCGCCTCGGGCATTGAATGCACCGATTCGTTGCATGATTTCGCATTTTAGTAATAGTCTCAAGGCGGGTTTAGCTGGTTTTCGAGCGTCTGTTGGCCCAAGGTCTCGGGGCTCGGATGCAAGTGCGTTCAATGTTTTACTTGTTAAGACGGGCGTGATGCGTACGTGAGACTTGATCAAATCATTGGCTTCAGTGACAGTCTTCTGAGCTAAGGGATGACCAGTGGAAGTTGCGCCATTTTCGAAGTCCTTGTAGTGTGTGGTATGTTTGATTTGGGTAGATCTTGATGGCACGGATATCTATGTATCTTGATAGTCCTACTACTGTGGAACGAACAAAAGAGCGTAGAGGGATGATTGTATCAGAAAAAAAAAGCCCTCTGGAGCGACATAGGATTTAGTACTAAACTCTGATTCTTAAGATGTTGCCGCGATAAGTGCAGTTGTTGCATGCCATGGCCGTTTGGGCAAAAATAGTGTAATATAATTTGCCGGACGTAGGGTCAAATATGGATCACCCCAACTAGGTTGCGGGGGGATAATACGAGTGGAAACTTCGGGAAATAATCATTTGAAGAAAAAGGAAAGAGTAAACACGAATGAATGAATAAATATGGTGCAAGCAAAAAGAAAAAGAAAAGATCGACGACCAATGCAGGATTCGAACCTACGATCTCCCGCACCGGAAACGGATGCCTTACCACTAGGCCAATTGGCCGATCTTGATGAACTTGAGGACTCAAAGTGCACCGAGAGGAAAATCTAACTAGTATATGAGAACAGTATAATAAGTTTGCCAGTATGCTGGTCGTTTTGATCATTGAGATTCTTATTAAATTTAGTTCGATTACCTAATATTTGAAACGGGAGCCGCGACAGGCGGGCAGCTACTTCAAGCCTCGGAGGTGTCGTACCACAATCCCATGGAATCCTGTGCTGGGGGGTGGGGAGAAAGCCCTAAATCGGGGAGCCATCCCTACATATAACTTCCCGTTAGCTAAAGCATAATGACCCTAGAAGGATCAGAGCATGACCAACACATCCTCCAAGGAGCATGCAAGACTATTCAAATTACAGGGTCTCGTCAGCGGCGCAGGTCCAAAGCCCTGCAGGATCTTTCACGAGTCAGGGCAGCCCCTTGCATAGCAGGGAGGCGCAACGATGATCGACGGGAAAATCTGTCGGGATTAAGCATCGGAGCATTCCCGCCACAGGAGGGAACAAACACCAACCACCCATTCAGAGACACGAGACAAGCACCCAGCATTCCCCATCAGGGGCGTTGATACCGCCGCACGGGCAGCTGAGGGACAGCACTGGACGACACCCCTTCATCCCAGTTACGACGGAATGTCACCAAGGCGATGGGTGGTATAAAGAATAAAGGAACCCTGGAATCTCCCGGGGTGGCTTGCATTCCGTACGACTTTCGTTAACACCCTTTCTATTTTTCGCAGTTTTCGACCACTAACTTTTTGTCGCTTGTCGGCATTTACTTTCTTTCAGCGCTGCGTGAGTCTCTACGACAATATAGGACTAGGCCGACATCATGGTCAAGACCACTTACGCCCTTACGCTCTTTGCTGCTGTCAGCATTGCTGCGCCTGTTGCTCAGCCTGATGGTAGCGGTAACCTCCTTGGTGCTGGTGCTGATGGTGCGCTAAACAAGCTTGTTTCTAAGCTCACTGGTCGTTCCGAGAAGGAGGGCTCGTCGAACAAGCACAAGAACCTCATTGAGGATATTCCCATTCTGGGACCTATGCTTGGAGAGGTCAGTGATTCATGTGCTTTATGAGAATATGCACGAGAGGAATATATGCTCATGGGATTTAACAATAGAAGCATGATGCTAAGCGTGGTCACTCAGAGTATGAGTCTGCTCACCACAACTTGATCGATGAAATCCCAATCATCGGCCAGTTGTTTGGTAATGTAAGTATATTGCCCTTGTTGAAAATAATAAAATTGCAACCGAAGATGCTAATGCAATGTCGCAAACAGGACAAGTCTAACATGGACAAGGGCAAGGAGCGTCGTGACCTGAGCGATGGTCTCAATGGTATCCCCTTCCTTGGTGGCTTGTTCGGCAAGGTTGGTGTTCATACGAGTAGTCCAAGTTTATAAACACATGAAGTGCTGACCAAGCAATAGCACGAGCACACTGGCGGATACAACGGCCTGAACGCTCACCAGAATAAGGGCCGAAACGCCCGTCAGAATGATGATCAGAACGCTGGACAGAACGAGGGCCAGAATGAGGGCCAGAATGAAGGCCAGAACGCTGGTCAGAATGAAGGCCAGAACGCTGGACAGAACGAGGGACAAAACGAGGGACAAAACGAGGGTCAGAACGCTGGTCAGAACGCTGGTCAGAACGAGGGTCAGAATGAGGGTCAGAACGAGGGCCAGAATGAAGGCCAGAACGCTGGTCAGAACGAAGGCCAGAACGAAGGCCAGAACGAAGGCCAGAATGAAGGCCAGAATGAAGACCAGAACTACGCCCAGAACGGCGGCCAGAACTCCAAGCGAGACCTCGGTGGCCTCAGCAACCTCCCGATCGTTGGAGATCTCCTCAGCAGCGTATGTGGACATCCCAACGCTTCACATCCAAACCTGATATTGACACAAGGCACAGGAAAAGCCCGGTCATAAGGAGACCGACGAGCCCGCTAAGCACCTCGACACCCGTCAGGCCGGAGGAAACGCCAAAGGCATCTTCGGCATCCTGCAGTCCCTGACTAGCGGCAATGTAAGTCCACATATCCAGCTTTCACCGTTCAAATACTGACATAAACCAGCCCATTCACAAGAGCCACGCAAAGCGCGAGGATGAATTCTCCCAGCTTGACCCCTTCAGCGACGTCGTTGACGGCGCCGTTGCCTCGGGTATGGAAGCTGAGGGCGCTGCTATGCCTGTAAGACTCTACCCATCGCCCCCAGAGCCAGCCATCCCCCAAACCAGTGTATATACTAACCCATAAAAGGTCCGCCGTGACGAGCCCGCCACTCCAACCCAGCAGACCAAAACCTCCTCAACCTCTGCGCCCACCGAAACAGCCAAGAGCAAGAGTTTCCTCAGCGAGCTGATGGGCAAGCATGGTCTCGGCTCGATCATGGGCCACGCCCACCACGGCGTCGGCCTGTTCCCTGTAAGTACTACAATTCAGCTCACACCATCTATCAGCCCTCACACAAACGAATAACCCACTAACGCCTCCACAGATGCGCCGTGACACCGACGAGATTGATGCCCGTGGCGCCGCACCCCCTATCCAGGGCTCTACCCTGACTGATGTGCTCTTGCAAGGCGGTGCCCTCGGAAAACTCACCAAGATGCTGTCCCCTGCTACTCCACCCAAGGGTCCCCATGGCGATCCTTACACTGTTGGTGATGGAACTAGCAACGGTCCCCCTGACCCTGCTTCTGGTGCTGGTCCTCACAGAGGTCCTGGTGTCGCTGGTGAGCGTGGTGATCATGCCGCTGCGGCTTCTGTTGCTGGTGGCGCTGCTCATCCCCAGTAAATTGTTGATGTGATGTGAGGGGATGGGGATGGGGATATGCTCTTTTCTTCTCGTGCCGTTTCTGCTAGATGATGTGGATTTGATGTGATTTTGTCGTAGATCCAGATTGGAAATGGATACAGAATGGCTTATGTTATTGGGTTGTTATTTATTTCTTGGTTTCGAACAATTTCAAATGCCTCTTATGATCACAGTCAAATTTAGACGTTCAGTTTTCCGAGTAAATGGTAGTGGTTCTCGTTATAGTAACAAAAGCTTTGGTGAGCATCAGACATAAAAAACATGTAGGGGGTATTCCCTGCTTTGTGGACGTAGCCAAACAAAGAGCCTAGGCTCATAAATAAAACACCGAGATCGTGAGTCGTAGCATCAATTAAAAACCGCCTTTTGAGGCGCAGACTACCCAGGTAAAGAGCGTCATTGGGGTATCAGATCGTTATGCGCGAGAAAATCAAATCCAAACAAACATTGTCGGGACAAGTCATGCGACTTCAACAAATTCAGGCAAATATGCTTAGTCGTAGTCGGAGAAATCCATGTCCACGTCATTTACTTCAACTGTCGTTCCGAGCGCCGCTTTACCCTCCCGGATCATATCTTGCAGCTGCTTGTTCAAGCGTTGGATGCTGGCATCCTCTTCCCGCTCCTTGCGGCGCATCTTGGCCGCATGTCTCTGCACCTCCGCAGATGCAGGAGCGTCCCTTGTTCGGGGTGAGGGAAGACCCTGGTTCTTGGTTGGGCTTTTGGGCCGTGGTGAGGCGTAGGCTACCTTCTTGAGTCGGGGCATGACGGCTGGTCGACGTCTGGGACTGGAAGCTTGAAACATTCGACGAGTGCGCAGTGACGGACTGATCATCTCGCTGTTGCCCACAAAAGGATCGTGGGTCTCGGGTGGAACAACGACCCAGCTGCGGTCGAGGTCGTCGTCGGGGTATTGGCCCGGGACGGGAGTTGCGTGGAATAGGTTGGAGTGGAAGGGGTCTTTGTCGGTGGATGGGCTGGTTGATGGCCCAGCTGTCATATCATAGCCCTGACCACCACCCGCATAGAATCCTCGGAATGCTCCAGACCAGCAGAGGTCGAGGACTTTGCCAACTGCTTTGATCACAGTCCGGCCCCAGCCTGCTGGTGTTGTCGAGGGCGAGCCTGGGCCGTCAGCGCTTGGGGATACGATTCCCGAGTCACGACGGCTGCGCTTGCGACTGGTGCCGCTGGATTCGGGGTTTATTGACTCAGTGCTTGCATCGAGAGAGGGTGGAAGGAAGGATTCGCGGTAACGGTTTGGACGGTAGTCCAGCTCTGCAGAGGTGTGGAAGTCGTTTCCTCCGCTGAATGCTCGATAATCCGACTGAATCAGCGGAGACTCGAACTCGGATGGAGACTCGAAATGCGATGCAAGTTTTTCTGTGTTACGGCGTGGGCGCTTGCGACTGACTGAGAGGGAATAGAGTGATGAGGATGCGGAGGTGGCTGGCACCTGGAAGTATTGAGAGGGCGCATTTGACAAGTCCAGTTTTGCTGGAACATGATTGAAGACGTGCATATCCGGCATGTTGAGAAGAAAGAGAAAGTCGGAGAGAAATAAAGGCGAAAAAGAAGAGCAAAAAACAAGAGGTTGGGGATCTGAAGGGCAGGTTTGCGGCCAATCGGACAATAATCTATACCAGTCCACCTGCATCGAGTACTTCGTTGCTTCTCTTTCTTTCTTTTTCACTTTCTTTTTCGTATGCTTTTACTCCTTTCTTTGTTTATCCAGTGTATTGAAAACACTAAGTAGCTTTCATCATGGCCGCCGCAACCAGCCCCTGTATACTCCGATCTCTTTGTTGAGACATCCTCTCTTATTGATCTCCCCCCCTACATGAACTATCACTTTGAAATTACAATCGCTGGCTTGTCCATTTCACACCCGCAGCCTCGAGTCCCTCATCACCATCAACAAGAACGCACCATCCCTCGCCGCCCGCTCCCCCGTCACCAGCAATAACCGCTTCAAAGTGACCGCGAGCATAATCTAGCACCGAGTCGTCAAAGGTACCAGGCTGCAACCACACTGCAGGGATCCCCACCGAGTGAGCTTCCTGCAGTACCTTCAGCGTTACAGGCGGTGGAGTCACCACGGAGAGGGAGGTCTGTAGCGGCGAGGGCAGCTTGGACGGTGAGGGGACCGTATCGTAGGCACGCGAGGGGAGGGTGATCTGCGCTGCTCGGGGGTTGAGCGGTGTCACCGGCAGGGAGTGTTGATGGTACCAGGCGAGGACTGGAGGTCATTAGTAGAGATCTAAACTGATCTGGTAGTTGACGTTACTCTTGTATCCGAACTTATGTGCGTCATTGCTGGCGCCCGCCACTGCGAAGCGAGGGGAGGAGAAGAATCGCTTGACGTCGGCCATGTTGTAGAGGAAATAAAACAGTCGAAATTAAAAAAAAGTGGTAAAAAAGAGTATATTCAGGTAGATTCAGGTTCACAAGAGAAGAGGAAAGTGAGCTCTCAGCGGAGCAAACAAAAAGGCCTCGGCAGCCGGCGATGACGGAATCTCCTTCGCTCATCTCCTAACTCCGACATTCGGCGACCACCACCATCATTTGAATACCTTCACATTTCGCATGCCACCGTTCGTCCCCCGCAAACGCATCTCCTCCGAGGACCCGCCCCCGGCCAAGCGCCAGGCCAGGCCCGATGAAGCTCCGTTCCACCTGTCAGACTCCGATTCAGATTCCGACTCGTCTCTGAGCGACGCCCCGGACGGGCTTATCAAGGCTAAAGAGGAATCCGACGAGGATGACATTGATTGGGAGGATGCTATCGACACAAATACTACGAGCGCAACAACCCCCGCCACCGCAGCCCCGGAACTACGCGATCTGGAATTGACCTTTGATAAGAACGAGACACACACGGCAGACTTACTGGATGGCAAGAAAGGGCCAAGTAAGATTGAGCGCCATATTCGTGTCCAGACACATTGCATGCATGTCCAGTGCTTGCTGTTCCACAATGCGATTCGCAATGCCTGGATCAACGATTCCAAGGTCCATGATATCCTACGCAAGAAGCTGCCAGAGGGGATACACAAAGAAGTAAAGAAATGGCGCATTGCATCTGGACTGGAGCTTCCAGAGCCTAAACCTGAACCACCGAAGAGCAAGAAAAAGGGCAAAAAAGCCCAGAAGAACAAGGATTGGAGCGCGGACTCGGAGCGGCTGGAACCTGGTCAGCCGGATATGAGTCGGGGTGATCCGATAATCACGCTGATCAAGGTCCTGGTTGCGTACTGGAGGAAGCAGTTTCGTATTACTGCTCCAGGATTGCGCAAGTATGGATACCGGCCAGTCTCGGAGCTTGAAACTGCCATTTCCGACTTCCGCGAGGAGGAACATGTTCCAGAGCGCCATGGTGAGCGCATTGCTAATCTCGACGAGTTCCGCGCTATAGCCGAGCGCATGCAAGGCTCGCGGGATGTCGGTGCGCAGCTTTTCACGGCTCTTGTTCGGGCTTTAGATATTGAGGGCAGGCTTGTGGGTAGTCTCCAACCTCTGGGCTTCGGCTGGACCAAAAACGAGGTCTACACATCGCCCAAAGAGTCAGAAAAGAAAGAACCCGAGAAAGAAGAAGAGCCGGAATCGGAGCCCGACACAGCTGAAGCGGAAGATCCGACACCAGCCTATGACAAGACCAAACGCAAGCAGTTTGACCAGGATTTGCCCTTCCCGGTCTATTGGACAGAGGTTGCGTCGCCCATAACGAACGACATTATCTCGGTAGATCCACTGGTGCTATCAAATCCGGTGGCACCAACAGCCGACCTGCAAGCCTCATTTGAACCGCGCGGCGCAAAAGCCGAACGGGCGAAACAAGTGATATGCTACGTCGTCGCCCACTCAGCAGATGGCACGGCGAAAGAAGTCACCACACGATACCTCCGAAAGCGCACCTGGCCAAGCAAAACCAAAGGTTTCAGAATACCTCTAGAAAAGATCCCCCTACCTGGCCTGCGAGGTCAATACATCGCCTTCGACTGGTTCGGAATGGTAATGCGCGGCTACCAAAGACCACGAGAGAAACGAACAGCGGTAGACGAACTCGAAGACGAACGCGATCTCCAACGCAACCAACCAGAAAGGAAAAAAGCAGCCCCAACCCACGATACCCTCCAAAGCCTCCGCACCTCGACAGAATTCGTCCTGGAGCGCTTCCTTCGCCGCGAAGAAGCCCTCAAACCAGGCTCTGAGCCAGTCCGCACATTCATCGCCGGCAAAGGCGCCCGCGCCAAAGAAGAACCAGTCTTCAAGCGCGCAGACGTGGTCAAATGCCTCTCCGCCGAAAGCTGGCACAAAGAAGGCCGCCAGACCCTCCCAGGAGCAGTACCCCTAAAGCGCGTCCCCATCCGGGCCGTGACCCTCCTCCGCAAACGCGAAGTCGACGAAATGCAGCGCGAAACAGGCGAGAAACCCCTCCAGGGACTGTACGCGCGCGATCAAACAGAGTACATCATCCCACCGCCCATTGAAGATGGGCATATTCCCAAGAACGATTATGGGAACATTGACTGTTTCGTGCCGAGTATGGTCCCGCGTGGTGCGGCGCATGTGCCGTTACCGGGGACCGTGCGGATCTGCAAGAAATTAGGAATTGATTACGCGGAGGCTGTTACAGGCTTTGAGTTTGGGTCGAAGATGGCTGTGCCTGTTATTCAGGGCGTTGTTATTGCCGAGGAGAATGAGGAGTTGCTTCGGGATGCGTGGAGGGCTGATGCTGCTGAGAAACGGAAGAGGGAGGAGCTTAAGGCTGAGAAGAGGATTTTGCAGACTTGGCGGAAGTTTTTGTTTGGGTTGAGGATTATGGAGAGGGTTCGGGAGGAGTATGGGGGAGGGGATCCTGAGGCTGGGAGGGAGAGGGATGCACATAATCCTTTTGTTTTGAAGAAAAGGAAGAAGGAGGATGAGGAGGAGAACGAGGGAGAAGGAGAGGAGGGTGATCATCATGATCCGGAGTCTGAGCATGATCCGATGGATTACGGTGGTGGCTTTCTTCTTCCTGGCGAAGACGATGCCGATGATGGGTTGATTGTGGAGCATCATGAGCAGCAGACACAAGCTGGTCCATCTCAGACTCATGTTGACTTTGATGGTGATCCTGCGTCGGAACGATCCTCACCACCTATTTCTATTCCTTCGGCTTCAGATAACGAGGAGCATGATGACAACGACGACAAGGGCGAAGATGCAGCGTCCGAATACACACCTCGTCCCACGCGACGAACTGCGCGACGTTGACTGTGGAGAAGGCTATCTCTCATGACTATCTTGTATTTCTATCACAATCATGTATGCACGAATGAGGACGGGCCAGGCGTTTATGTGTTAGGGTTAGACAGAATTGTCCAGAGTATCAGATATAGGCACAGAAATTTACTTTTGTGCTATTCTATCCATTAAATACATCGAGTTCAAATCTATACCCAATCCCGAAAGAAGTCATTCATCAAATCTACACGAAACCCAACCTCAACCCCTCGACTGCACAGCAGCCAAAGGCGAATCGATAGCCCCCCACTCCACAACATCATCGTAGTCGTCATCCTCATCATCTAGAACAAAGCTCTCGTCCTCAAAAGAGGGGCTGACATGAACCGCCGGTGAAGAGATAGGACTAAGCGCCACGCGTGGCCGTGACTTGAACACACTAGCGTACTCCGCATCCTCCTCAAAGAGCTGATCCTGTGGCGTGGAAGCGCGGGAACGCTCGTCGATTGAGCGAGTCGAGTGCGCAGAGGGTTTTCGCGGAGTCACGAATTGGTTGACTGGGTAGGAGGGGCGAGGTCCGCGACGCTGGCGAGGCCGAACTTGTGGTTCGTGGCCTGGTGGGCGGAGAGACATTGATTTGCGCGTGCGTTCGACTAAAGTGTGGGAGCGTTTGATTGGCTCCGGGTCTGGCTTGTGCTCTGGTGAAGAGGGGATGTCTGGGGAGAGGCGGACGGTTGGAGTCGGTTGAATAGATTCTGATTTGGGTTTTGGTTCAGGCTCTGGAGGTGTGTATGATGCTTCCGAGGCAGCCAGGTCTGCTGGGTGACCAACAGGGTAGTCGTCTGCCATTATTGGCGATTCTGTAACATCTAACGAAGCTTCCAATCGGCGTTCGTAACTCGGTTCTACCTCGAACGTAGGATCCTCACGATTGGAACGGGATTTGCCGTTGATGCGAGCGAGAGCTTCATTTACAGATGAAAGCAGTGATTGATCTGTTCCTTTCAGCGTCCGCTCCCTATCCCCTGGCTGGCGTACAGATTTGGATATACTGGCAACGGTGAGAGACTGGTGGTCTCGGAACAGTAGCCGATTCTCTTTGGAAGAGGTTTTACTCGCTGCGTTGATATCGGTGCCTCTTTGTCTTGAAAGAGAGTTGTTGTATTCGTGCCACTTGCAAAGTCGACTTCGTTGCAGTAATACCCGAGAGGTCAGATCAACAACCAGATCATGTTTCAAATCACTCCCGAGACCGTTCACAGCTGGACTAGTTGCCCGCGACAAAGCCTCTGGGAAAGGAAGCTCCAGGAAAGCATCGGAGCTGCTTTGTGATCCGCCTTTAAGCAGAGCAGTTGCCCATTCCTCGCTGCCTAGCCAATTTGCTTGAAGTTCGCGCGCCAGACTTTCAGGGTCACTTTGCACATTCCATTTACTCTGCTGTTCTTTATTGGCGCGTTCAGCCAGCTCGATCTTTTTGTTGTCCAGTAGCTCCGAGAACCGATCATAAGCACCTTGAACCCTAGCACGCCGTGCTTCCCCGGCACCCAAAGAAACCTGATGGGCAAGAATGAGCGGTAGCAAATTCTGATAATTTGTTGGCGTCATTGCTGTAGCTGTCGACAATTTCATGGCGGAGCTCCAGGCCATCTCTTCTGCGGAGGCGGCGACACATTTACGGAGTACGGTCGTAGAGAAGCCAGCGAGCAGCTCGTCGAATTTCTCTCCTTTGCAGTCATCTAACATAGATTTGCGCAGGATTATCTCTCGTCCCAGATCGCCATTTTTCTTCAATTCACTCAAGCACCGGAATAAGGCCGCGCGGAGGTTGACAGACTGTAGGGGTTCTAGCGGAGGAAAGAAGGGACGCAGTTTCTGTATCATATATCAGCAGGGTTCACAGGCTGATGTCTGGTATGTGTACATTTTGGGTTCCCTCTGAATCCCAGATAGCGAAGAGGTAGTATAAGGCCCATTCTATCAAGCGGATCCGTTGCCGTTGGTTCTGCGATGACGCCGACAGCGAGCGGATAGAAATGCTGGGCCAGTCCTCGCGTTGGTCCAATTGCAACAGCTTCAAATTTCGAATAAAGACATCTTGATGCGAAGGACCCAGCCAGTCCAGGGGTTTTGGCCTGTTTGGCCTTGT